AGCTGTGGCCTGGAATAAATTTTGAACATTGCAATTAAAAATTTGAAATTCATTTGTAATAAAAAAAATATACAATAAACTACGGGTAATAGGGAAGTATAGTAAACAGCCTGAGTTTGTTTTGTACTACAATATTACAGACTCGAAAGCTGATATTTGTGTAAGTGGGGATGGTGTGTTCTGTGGGTGCTGATGGTGATTAAAGAATTAACTACAATTAACATTTAATGACTTTTAACAATTGTAAACATAAAACTAAGGTGGGATAATGCTACCAAATTTTTCAAATTCCAGCCAACATACATGTATCGTTTATTTATGTTATAAAAAATAATTGAAAGCTGTGACTTTGTGTGGAAAATTTTAAGTAATTTCATAAAAGCATGCAAAAAAAAGGAAATTTACAAATTTATGTAAATATATATTTACACACTTAAATATATTAAATATATTATTAAATACATCAAAGCTTAATTACAAAAGTTAAATAGTTTACATTAGTCAAATAGAAAAGTTGAGAGCAATATTTTCAGGATGCAAAAAACAATTCAACGAACACAACAAAATTTTATTAATTACAAGTTTATATATTTAAAAAAAAACAACAATAAACGGTCAATAATTCATTAGAGTTGTTTTTTTTTTTGTTAATTAATTTTTTTGTTTTGAATTTTTGATTTTTTACCAAAACATTTTGTGGTACCGGGATGCGGTTGATCGTATGAGGTGAACTGTTGTGAAGCGTTGTCACAGTGCGGCGCTGTAAGGTTTTTAATTAATTGTAAATTACACATACAATGTTTGTTTTTTGTTGTAATTGTTGTTGTAGATAAGGTAGTAAATTGCATATAATAATATAAATTATACTACATAAAGATTATTTACGAATTTCAACGAAAAAATTAATTATAAAATTAAACATAATAAGCCGGATATATGAAACAATGCGAAAAGTATAAAATTAAATTCAGCAGTTTAAAATATTAAAAGATGTATAATAAAAACATATTGAAATGGACTTAACTATAAGTTATATAAAAAGTAAGTTAAGGTCTTATCACATGCAACAATAAAAAAAATTTATAAAGGCAAGATTTTTACGTTTTACTACAAGTAGTTTTTAGTATGGTAAAAATATTATTAATTTTTTTTAAAGTTATTTTCTTTATGTATTTGATGTAACAATATAGTAAAATACATTTATTTTCACCATTAAATAAAATAATTCAAAGAAAATAAAGAACTCAATTTAATAAATAAAGATAACAACTGCGAATTTGTTACACATAAACAGATTAAATGGTTAAGCAAAAATTTTATAGTATCCTGATCCAACCCTAACAACAGCTTCATGATTCCTTTCCCTATTGTATTACGCGGTATATTACCATATATATGTGATATATTATAAAACTGCCGTAATGTAGTAAAAAAAAAGAAAAATAGCTGAATCATATTTCTTAGTTCCGAAATATTTTATGGTATAGACAAATTTTATACAACATAATGATTTAGATTTAGTAATGTACCCAGTTCATTTGTTCAAACTAAAATTCTTTCACCACATAATCATATACCTGTGCTCTAAATTTGAAACCACTAATAAAATTCATCAAGACAATGGTGGAAGTATTGGTTTGACTTCTTTTGTTCCTAAAGGATATAGTGTAGGAAACATTTTAACTAATTCAGAACGGAAGAATTGGCAAATAACTTATAGCAAATAAACTTTTCAGCAGATGATGGAAGTCACTCGCATATACATACATATATATTTTTTATTGCAGAATGAAGAGAGATTCCAATTTCATGATTGCCGTGAGTTGGCAACGGGTTTTAGTGAATTTTAATAATCTGATCAATATCATTACAACGCCATAAGCCAATATAATTGGTTTTTAATGTATTGAGCTTTAAAGTATATAGCCTAGTGGAAAAAACTACTTGAAATATTAAATTAACCAAAATGTTTTGTTTCATTGTGACTTCTGGAGAAATTCGAATCGTACCCAAAATATAATATAAGTATTAATATTGCTACCATTACTATAGAAATTGTTCAGCAATTTCGGTTCAACAAGTACAAAGTTTCTGTCTCTAAATTATTACTTGATATATCAACGAATTCTTTACACTTTATCAGAGAGAATGAGCTACAGTAAAAATTGTTCTCAGCATGCTCCACAAGACATACTTTTGTTTTAATATCTTTCGTAAGCGAAAAATTCTCCATTTGCATTAAAGAACACCCATCAGTTAGAATTGCAACCTGAAAAATGTACTGTTTAGGGCAGTGGTTCCTAACCTTTTTTGACCAAAAACCACTATGATATATTTTTTTCTAGTAGGGACCACAAAGTTTAAGAATAATAAACAGTATTATTATTTTAATATGCTTTAAGCATCTCTGGTATAATGTATAATGAATTGCATAAGTGCATAGGTACATTATAAAGACTATAAAATAGTTATACAATTACTTGAACATTTTTTATGTTTATTTTCTAACAAGTGAGGTAGGTCTCAACGGACACACTACAAATTATGTATCCATATCTGTTAAGTTTGATTCAGGAACCATTTTAAACCATCTCGCGGACCACGGGCGACTAGCGGACCATCAGTGCGAAACCACTGATTTAGTGGCTTTTATATCAATATAATTCTACAATACTTGAACCATTTTTAACTATCTTGCGGACCACGGGCGACTAGCGGACTATCAGTTCGGAACCACTTTAGTGGCTTTTATATCAATATAATTCGACAATACTTGTTCAAGATTAAGGAAATCGAAATAACATTGTCAACGCCGTTCCGAACACCTACAGAAATTGAGTTGTACCGTAGTCAACTATATTCTCAGATTTATCATAGGAAAAGCATTTTTTTCTAAAATTATTTATTTTTTTAAGTCAATGCGGACAAGTCAATAACAACTTCAGACCGTTCATACGTAAACTTTAAACATTCAAAAGGATTATGGAAAATCATTATTCTTTAATAATGTCGGAAAATTGTATACCAAATGAAAAAAAATACTTATTTGATAAAACCTTTTGTTTCAAATTGAAATTCTGTACCTCTTAAAAACACCCTATATTAAGGAAAAATGTCATAAAATTACAATACATATTGTATATAATAAAGAAATTTTTTATAAGCTTCTCGCATGAATAATTTAATTACAACCTTTGAAGTAGGGTCAATTCAAGTGGATTAGCCGAAATTTAAACACGTTTCTTCATTTTATGTGTATTTACGAAATAAATAATATATAACATTATATACATATATGCACATATATATAAAGAGAAATATACCAATCGATGCCTAATTTTAATCAGAAACAATTTTTTTATTAGGGTTGGATTTATACTTTAAGGGGTACTACTTTGAATATTAAAAGGCAGTCGAAACAATTTTATTTTGAAGGGTTAAATATGACCTTTCATTTATTATATTTATTTTATTTTTTGTTTCATCTGTAATAATAAGGGCAAAAAAAATTTTTAAATTATTTACTTGATGTATGTATTAAATCAATTGAAAACAATTTGTTGCTAAATCATTGAATCATCGAATTATGTATATAATATACATACAAGAATAAAGTACGAGTATAGAAAAGTTTTGGACTTTTAATAAATACATTTCTCCGGCCATTCTTCTATATTTTTTTTATCTTAAACTCAAGCTTTTTTTTTAGTATTAAAGATGATATATACAAGAACGAATTGATAACGTTAAATAAATAATTATCTAATAATAGATATGTTCCAGTTACCGATTTTAATACTTCAAGCACAAATAAATTTTAAAGTTATAATTATAATTTAAACTGTAATTATAAGCTGGTTTAGTGAAAATAAAAAAAATCTATTTTAAGAGATAAATTTAAATAAAAATAATAAGTATTGTATGGGGTCAAAAAATAATTAGGGATTCTACTTCTGCTGATTTAAGTCGACATATCTATTGTGATACCATAATGTCCTCATTCAGTGAGGCGTCCCTTGTTAGTAAAACAGAGTTGAGTTTGTTAGCAAGTTACCTAACGAATATCAATTATTTTACTAACTGAATAAGATGAGCTAAGAAGAGAGAATGCTGGTTCTGCAGAGAAGCGGATGAGACCTTTAGTTACTTTCTTTATGTCTGTTGTACTTTGGCATTGGCAGGAACATACTAATGAACCGAGAGCTCCTATCTCCATCTGATATTAGGATAATAATATTATTAGATTTTTGTTGTAAGAATTGGGCTTATCGTCGGGATACTTATTCGTCGGAATTCAATATCGGTTTTATTTAATGTTATCTTTTTGTCTTGTGCCATCGCTAACACTTAAAAATATAATTGCAAACATATTAATTAATCCTTAATTAATTAAAATACGACTGTATTGCCTTTTTTAAATATTATTTTATACTGAAATTTTTTTTTGATATTTATTCTATAGTCATTTTCGGGAAACTGTGACATAGTCGAAATTTTGGTGTAATTTTAATTTAAAAAAATACTAAATAAAATTTAATTATTCAGTTGTGATTAATTTAAACGATATATATAAGGGTCCCTCTGTGGGGTTACAATATTTCCGCGCTGGAGCGTTGGAGGATTTGGTTTAAAAGGTCACAAAAACCCTAAGAAGCTCCAAACTGAGCTGAGTAGACGCCGGCTCTAAGTAAGCGTCCACCATCTCGGGATGGCAGCGAAGGAGATTCAAGTGCGCAGAGCGTGGTTTAACCATCGAGGAATACAGGCGAGTGCACTGTCCTAAGAGAAGGTAGTTGAACTAACATTGGAGTCCTTTCGTGCTTTACGTCAACGCTATGTTAGGCATGAAAAATGCATACCAAGACAGGCATAATGACGTTGAATTCAAGGTTCAAACACCCATAAAGAACGAGCCCAATAAAACACTGATTATGGCATACTGGACGCGTATGATGATAATTACGATTTCCGGGCTGGCGAATGTAGTATTCTGTTACCTGAGTATATGAGAGTGACATCTCATAGGAATGGCTTTCATGTAAATGCTATATTTTCTTCCGGACATTTATAACTTGACAAGTTTACAAGTACGTTCGATGTATCGTCACCGTTAAATTGGTGATATAGATTCAGTGATATTTAAAACACCCTGAGACAGATTGAGCACGGTAACATAGTACAGTGTTAACAACTATGAAAATACAATTGTGGTGGTATGTTTTAAGATCATTTTAAAAATTATAAAAATTCGGGTCTCAGATTCGGGTTTACAGTATTTACTCATCAACTTAATAGTTTATTTGTAAATTTTATAAAATGTTTTTCGATACTACATGGAAACTAACATATTTCTGCAATCAGTTATAAAAATTGATAATTTCGGTAATTTTTTTTTTGATTTTAGTGTTAATATGTAAAGAATTTGTTAAAATGATTACTTTAAGTACAAAAACGGTTTTACACATATTCATTATGCAGCAAAATTAATTGTCGATTCTCATTCAAATAATTTCAGTTCCAAACAAAAAAAAAAGCTACACTATTTTTTCCATAGTTTATAGTTTATGAAAAATCAGTTGAATTGATGTTATTGGGTATTTATTGAATTGAAAAAAAAAAAAATAAAAAATAAAAAAAAAAGATTGATTACAGAGATAAAAAAAAAATTACGATTAAAAGTGCAAAAAGTGACCATTGCAATAATAATAAAATTATATTAACAAAAAATTAAATGTATGATGAAAATGAGTTGTGAAAATTTACATATAAAGGGTGAAAAAATTTACACAATTTAAATTGAAATTGAAATGTTTAACAAAAAAAAAATTCTTTAAATAAACATCTAAAACGAGAAACCCATGAAAAAAATTATACATATTGTATTAAAAACCTTAATCCTTTAGTAGTATTGAAAACAAAATATTAAATAACAAAAATTAGCCGTGGGTGAAAATTCCTTAAATTTATTTTGTAAATTTAAAAAGGGTGTAAAAAAATTATGGTTAATAAGGAAACAAAAAATATTGCGTAAAAAATGTGACTGAATTTAAATACGGAACGGTTCATTACATTTAAAATAGCTGCTGGCTGTGCTGCTGGAACTTCAGTGACCGGTTTGGCTGCCTGTAAAATTATATTTGTATGATTTTCTATCTTAATGCAATAATAAGGAACTAATAAAAAAAATTAAATACGTTGTATAATTTGTAGAGATACTTTATATACTATATATATCATATTTTAATATTTATAAGTTAACAAAATTTTTGCAATATATATAAAAAGTGATAATTACATATTTTATATATAAAATTTCTTACCTGGAAGCGTAGATTGGGATCAGCCGTAGCTGCAGCGGCTGCTAAGAAAGGATCGTAGTAAACACTGCGAATGTAAGAGAGAATAAAAATAAAGATATAAATTAATATATGAATTCTAACATTTGTTATTTTTATTTCATATATATATTATTAATACTTAAAAGCAAAATTCAATTTTCGTTAACAGTAATATGATAACTGTTTTTATATTCATAAGTTTTGTCTTTTTTATATTTAAATGAATAAATCATTTAAATTGAAACCCTAATAAATACAATATTCCTTCCAAAAAATTTGACATTCATACAAAGTCCTGCAAAAAATCCTACAACTATAGTCACTTACTTAACCTTACCTAAACTATTAACTTCATATTCATATTAAAAATTGATATTTGCATTTTATTTTGATACTATAGCTGATTGATCAGAAACAAATATTAAAATATTTGTCGTATTTATACGACAAATAACTCGAAGAGCTAAGTGTTTTACATAAAATAAATATTTTGGTTTTAAGTACTACATTTA